CTACAGATCCAGATGGCATCATTGGTAAATTCAACCAAACATTTAAAGAAGCAATAACACAATTTCCACACAATCTCTCTCCAAAAATAGAAGTGTATAGATTGTTTCCCAACAATTACATGAGGCCAAAACAAAAAACAGGCAATGACATTATAAGAAAAGAAAGTTATAGACCAGTATCTCTCAGGAATATATATATAAAATCTCAAGAAAATATTAGTAAATCAAATCCAACAATATATAAAAAAAGGTTATATGCTACACCAAGCAAGGTTTATCCTCAGAATACAAGGCTGATTTGAAAAACCAGTGTAATTTGCTTTATCAACAGTCTAAAGAAAAAAAAAAACAGCTATATTAACATCTTAATAGATGCTGAAAATTATTTGGCAGAATTCAACATTTATTCTGAAAAAGTACTCTCACAAAATTAAGAATAAAAGGGAACTTCCTTAGCATGATAAAGAACATTTACAAAAACCTTGATCCATTATATTTAGTGGTGAAAGACTGATTGCTGTTCCCTGAATATATGGAACAGCACAAAGATGTCCTTTCTTACCACTCCTTTTCATTATCATACCATAAGTCCTATAAAGCAATGAAATGCTATAAGGCAAGAAATAGAAATAATATGATGACAGATGGTAGCTACACGTGTGGTGAATATAGTCTAACATACAGAGAAGTTGAATCACTACGTTGTACACCTGAAACTAATGTAACATTGTGTGTCAACTATGTTCAAATAAAAAAAAAAACTCATCACAAAATACCCCCTCCCCAAAAAAAGAAATGAAAGGCATACAGATTAGAAAGGCAGAAATAAAACTGTCTGTATAGGTGACTTGATTTTCTCCATAGAAAATTGAAAACCTACAAAAAAAACTCCTGGAACGAAGAATTGAATTTAGTAGGATCATAGAATACAAGGCAAATATACAAAAATAAATTGTATTTCTCTATGTTAGCAATGAACAACTAGAAATGAAAATTAGACAAAAACAGTATTATTTGAAATAGCATCAAATAACATGAAGTACTTAAGTATAGTTCTAACAAAATATGTGCAGGATCTGTATGTGGAAAACTATAAAACACTTATGACAGAAATCAAACATCCAAACAAATGGGAAGATATTTTGTGATCATGAGTTGGAATGCTCAATATTGTTAACAGTTTCCTCCAGGTTTATTCATAGATTGAACATGTTCCCTAGCAAAACTCTGCAGTAGTTTCTTATTCAAACATTTATTTAGAAAGGGAAAAGACCTAGAATAGCCAAAATAATTTGAGAAAGAGTACAGAATGGGAGGATTCATAGTACTTAATTTCCAAACTTAATGTAAAGCCACAGTGATTAAAATAGTGTGGTATATGTGAAATGATAGACACATATAGATCAATGGAACATAATAGGGAGCCCAAGAATAGACCTATACAATTTGATTTTTGACAAAGTTGCAAAGGCAGTTTCAGTAGAAGAGTAAGTCTTTTCAACAAATGGTGCTAAACCAATCGGTCATCCATGTGTAAAATAAAAGAAGACAAACCCCAAACCGTGCTTCACACCTTGTGCAGAAATTAACTCAGAATGGATCATAGACCTAAATGTATAACCTAAAATGATTAAAAAAAAACTTTTGGAACAGAGACAGGCAAACATTTTCTGTAAAGGTCCCGATAGTAAATATTTTAGTTTTTATGGGCCATCTATGGTTTCTGTCATATAATCTTTCTTTTTTCTTTTTTAACAACCTTTAATAATGTAGAAACCATTCTTAGCTCACAGGCAGTTCAAAAACATGCCTATAGTCCAGATTTAGCACATGGGTAGTACTTTAATTATCCCTTGTTTTAGATGAAAGCATAGAAGAAAATCTTTGTGATTGTAGGTTGGGCAGAGTTGTTAGATAAAACATCAAAACATCAAAAACTAATGATGTATGGTGACTAACATAATAAAATAAAATTTTTAAAAAATGCAAAAAAAAAAGACAAGACCTCTGAAAAGGCCTGGAACCAGGAGTTTTTAAAAAACAAAACAAAAATACATTTAAAAACTGATAAATTGGACTTCATTAAAATGAAATGTACTTTCATATCATTTATCTGACAAAAAGGACTTATGTCAGAATACATAAAGAATTCTCAAGAGTTGGGGCACCTGGGTGGCTCAGTTGGTTAAGCATCTGCCTTCAGCTCAGGTCATGATCCCGGGGTCCTGGGATCAAGCCCCACATTAGGTTCCCTGCTCCGCGGGAAGCCTGCTTCTCCTTCTCCCACTCCCCCTGCTTGTGTTCCTGCTCTCGCTATCTCTCTCTCTCTGTGTGTCAAATAAATAAATAAAATCTTCAAAAAAATAAAATAAATAAATTAAATGTCCTTTTTAAAAAAAAAAAATGTTCTAAAAGTTTGTAAAATATCAGAATTGGGCTCCCTGCTCAGTGGAGAGCTTGCTTCTCCCTCTCTCTTTCCCTCTCCTTCTCCCTTTCCCTCTGCCACTCTCTCGCTCACTCTCTCAAATAAATAAATAAAATCTTTAAAAAAAAATTCTCCCCTCTGCCACTCTCTCGCTCACTCTCTCAAATAAATAAATAAAATCTTTAAAAAAAAATTCTCAAAAGTCAATAATAAGGAAACAACCAAATTTAAATTTGGAAATATGGGCAAAAGATCTGAACAGATACTTTACCAAAGATATCTGAATATCTAGTAAGTACATATAAAGGTTCTCAATATAATCAGTCATCTAGGAAATGCAAGTCAAAACTAGAAGATAGCATGTCTTATCCTGTCAGAATAGGCTTCAAAAAAGAAGGAAAACTGACAATACCAAGTGCTGCCAAAGATGCAGAGTAACTAAAACTCTCATACATTACTAGTTAGAATTCAAATGGTAGAGCCACTTTGAAAAAGAGTTTGGGAGAAAATATTTGCAAATAGCATATCTGATAAAAGGTTAGTATCCAAAATATATAAAGAACTTATACAACTTGATACCCAAAAAATAAATGATCCAATTAAGAAAAGGGCAGAAGACACGAATAGACATTTTTCCGAAGAAGACATATAGATGGCCAACAGGCACATGAAAAAATGCTCAGCATCACTCATCATCAGGGAAGTACAAATCAAAACTACAATGACATATCATCTTACACCTGTCAGAATGGCTAAAATCAACAACACAAGAAACAACAGGGGTTGGTGAGAATGTGGAGCAAGAGAACACACAGGTGTTGATGAAATGCAAACTGGTGTAGCCACTGTGGAAAACAGTATGGAGGTTCCTTAAAAGGTTAAAAATAGAACTACCTTATGATCCAGCAATTGCACTACTAGGTATTTACCCAAAGAATACAAAAATACTAATTCCAAGGGATATATGCACCCCGATGTTTATAGCAGCATTATCTACAATAGCCAAGTTATGGAAACAGCCCAAGCGTCCATCGACTGATGAATAGATAAAGAAGAGGGAGTAATATATATGTGTGTATACACACACACACACACACACACACACACACAATGGCATATTACTCAGCCATCAAAAAGAATGAAATCTTGCCATTTGCAATGACGTGGATGGAGTTAGAGAGTATTATGCTAAGCAAAATATGTCAGTCAGAGAAAGACAACTACCATATGATTTCTCTCATATGTGGAATTTAAGAAACAAAATGAAGGAACATAGTGGGGGTTAAAAAGAAAAGCAAATCAAGAAACTCTTAGCTATAGAGAACAAACTGATGATTACCAGAGGGCAGGTGGGTGGGGATGGGTGAAATAGGTGATGAGGAATAAGGAGTGCTCTTGTTATGAGCACCAAGTGTTGCATGGAAGTATTGAATCACTATATTGTCACCTGAAACTGATATTACACTGTATGTTAACCAACTGGAATTTAAAAAAAAAAAAACTTTAAAAAGAAAGAAAAACAGTTTGGTAATTTCTTATAAACATACCCTTACCACATGACCCAGCAATCCCACTCCTAGTTATTTATCCAAGAAAAATGTGAAACTTCACACAAAAACCTGTAGATAGATGTTCATAGCAGCTTTGTTCATAATCAAGAATTGGAAATAGTCTGTTTGTCCTTCAGCTGGTGAATAGATGAACAAATTATGGCATGTTTGCATAATGGGATACTATTCAGCTATAAAAAGTAACAAACTACTGATAGTTACAGCAACTTGGATGAATCTGAATGCATTATGTTAGGGGGAAGGAGATATACTCAAAAGGCTGCATACTGTATAATTGCATTTATATGCCATTCTGGAAAAGGAAGAAATGTAAGATAAAACAGATCAAGCAGTTGTCAGGGAATTAGGGTGTGGAGAGGGTTTGACTACAAGCAGGTACAAGAAGCCTTTTGGTTTGATGGAACTGTATATGTATCTTACATATCTTGATTTGGGTGGTGATTATATGACTGTATACATATGTCAAAACTCATCTAAGTATATTAGAAAAAGAGAATTTTAGTATATGTAAAATTTTCTAGAATAAGAGACAGAAGGTAGAGGGATAGTGAAATTTCCATGATCAAAAAGGCATTTTACTGATGATGGGAGAGGCTTTAGCATGTTTATAGGACATGGGCCGAAGTTAGAAATACGAAGATGTTAAAGGTTATCTACCTTTATTGTTTTTTTTTAAATATATTTTAAACTTAGAGATACTTGCCCAAGATAATTTGCAAGTAAAGGAAATGTGTGTTTTATAATCTTATGTACTATTTTGTGAGGTTGATTTAAGTACTGAAGTTGAGTGCTCAGCATAAGTTATACGTCTGTAACTTCTAATGCATTTCTTGAATCTGCTCTGGGTATTTGTGCATACTTCTCTTGCTCAGTGATTGGATAGCTTTTCAAGATCCCTGCTTAATTTTATATGCCTCTTCACATAGGTATTGTGCTTCCTAATGACTAGTGACTCAGCTATTGTTGTTGTTTTTAATATCTAAACTATATTTATTTCCCTAAAGGTGATGTTGGGCCAAACGGACAACCTGGGCCAATGGGACCTCCTGGGCTTCCAGGAATAGGTATTCAGGGACCACCAGGGCCACCAGGGATTCCTGGACCAATAGGCCAACCTGGTAAGATTGGAGTAAATAATTGTGCATTTTTGTAGCATTCATTATATAGAGGTTGGCTAGTTCATCAGTAAACTACAACTACAACATCAGTAAACTACAACAGGAAAACCTGTTTTCCAGAAAACAGATTTCAGAGGTAACATGTCTCCTTGTATAATTTTGTAAAATTGAAAAAGTACAGATCACAGCATAAGAGTTTCTTTAATCCCTGATACTTTCCTTCCCTGTTCATTTAAAATTGATCTATTAACAAATAATGCAATTTCACAATTGCAGTATGTTGCCTCAGCATACAATCATTGAGCTAGTTACAGTCTTGGAATCACAGAACTAAGAACTTGCAGTGCTGATTATTTCAGACCTGAGTAGCTGTACAGAATTAATAGACCTTTTTAAAACCTCGTAACATTTCTTTTTTATACAGATATGCAAAACAAAAACAAATAAAAGATATGCAAAACAAGTTTTGTCAGCTTGTAACCTAATAGAGAATCATATGGTTCTTCTATGTTTGTCTGAGAACTTACTTCAGTTTTGTGGATTCTGAGCCATCTGGTGAGGCTCACTGAGGGCCACTCTTGGGCCAGTATGTTATTGCAAGGCAATGTAATAATTCATAAAGTTAGAATAAATATGGAAAACTTAATCATTCCTTAATTTACATGAATATGTCAGATGACTTAAACTCACAGTTCAGATGTACATACATTGATTTTGAAACAGTAGAAATATATTTTCTGACCTTAAATAGCAATAAATACTTTGTTAGTTATTATGCTAATAATCTGGAAACACCAGTTAACAATATAAAAAGCCTGGAAAGTAAAGGTTGTTTTTGCTTATGTTCTTTTTTTTAAATTTTGTGTTATGGCCCATTGTACCTTTTTTTTTTTTAATGGCCCCTAACATGTCACTACTGATTTAAAAATGAGAAAACTTACGGTGTTGCTTTGAACCAGGTTGTTAAAAAGTAGCTGCGTCAACACTCAAGAAAAAAACCATTCTGTTCAACTAGCATAGCAAAGGGATCTTGAGAAAAAACAATTTTTAGGTTTGGTCATTATAGTCTTGGCCTGCTGTTCTACAAAGATGGCTAAAATGAATTTATCATTCCTGTTATGTTTTGTCATTTCTTTTGTTTCCCAAAATTACATGAGGTTTTGGAAGCATTTTGAATTCTTAAATCACAGCTAAGCAAGAATGAAAAGAAACTACTGTTAATACCAATCTGAACAAAATAAGGGTACATTTATTTGTACTTTATGCTTTTTCAAATTTAGCTAATACTCTAAATGTTTCATTCATCTAATGTTCTGTCTTTTTAACTGATGGATATATAGGTATATTAATTTATAAAGTCTAGATAGGATGGACAGGGGAAAAGTAATGGTGTTGAATTTAATCTCATTTCTTTCTCTGTAAATATATACTTTGCCATAAAATTCAAGATCTTAACTAATATGGTTCAATAAATGAAGTTAACAGCAATTGGCATGAAAATGTATTGAATGAATGCTTATTAATATAAATATGTTATCAAATCACAATTTTTTTTACTACAGGATAGATCACATTTTATATTTAATACTAGCCCATATACTCACTTTTTATATAAATTTATTTATATCACCAAATCAGATTATCTTAGCCTATTTCAAAAGCATTGTAATTTCTGTTTATACATCTCAATGAATAAACAGATCAGCAACACTGTTACTAATACCTTGATACACCTGACTTGCACTGCATGGCTGAAATTCTAACTACCAGTGTTTTTTTAATAAGCTTATTTAATATACTTGTGTTTCATTTTGCAATAGAAAACTTAATGCAAAGTATTCTATATGGTCATCTCTCTAGTATAAATGTTTGCATGATGCTTTTCAAGCTTTTTTGACTCCAGTTTTCTGCTGTAATTTAATTAAGCTTTACTATTTTTCATTCTCTTTTCCAAGGCAGGATACACAGTTTAATGCATGTTTATAAATTAAGGAACTGTTGAATATCAAGTCCTCATTTGACAGCAGGGAAATAAAAGAAAAAAAATGCCAAAGGATAAGAAGCAAAATGCTTTTCATTCCATGCCCTACTAATCCAGGCAGAAATGGAAATTGTTGATTCTTGCTATTTGATCTGGCTATTAGCTAGAAGATTGCTGCTTTAGTGAATCTTTAAGAGGTCAGTTAAATATACTCAATTCTGTGTCCACAGATCATACCCTAACCTGAGCCAAATGTACTGTAATGCTTGCCCAGTCTCAGGAGAAAGTGCAATCAGTTCAGCCTCATCCCCACTAATGTGAAACAAAGAAACAAGGAATTAGTCATGTCATTTCATAGATGAAGTTTCCTAACCCATTTTCATCTATGGAGTTTTCTAACTTTTTTCCAGCTATCAAACCCTTGGGGTGTGTGTGTGTGTGTGTGTGTGTGTGTGTGTGTGTGTGTGTGTGTGTGTGTGTAAAGTTCTCACGATAATATGTGTTTTTGGAATTTTCCCCTTTTTTCACTAACTGGTCCCATTTGGCTGCCAATACATTTACAGCATCTACACACCCCTAATGTACTTACCCTCTATAGATATAGCCATATAATTCCTATTATATAAGGAGATTCAGCAGAGCTTTTGAATTTATGTTGACTGTTTTCATTCTTGATCTTACCAGGATGCCTATTTCTGACAGTATTCATGGAAAAGATCTATGCTGTGAAAAGTACAGCATAATATCTGTTACTACTACAAATAACAATGAAAAAATCTTTGCTAGTACATGCAGGTTGTTTAATCATACTCATCTGCTAATAATTATTGAGTTCTCTGTACCTAAGCTGTTACAGTATAAAATCAAATTTAGTTTTAAGTTCTAACTTATCTTTAAGAGGTTAAGTTCCAAAAGGATTATTCAAAGCAATATAAGGATCAGAGACAAGAGTGTGAAGCTGATCTTCATCAAAAAGCATTACTTTTTGTAAATGTAAATACTTTATTGTGTCTCTATTGGGGAATACATTTCAGTTATAGAATATTGCTATATGAACATCTGAACGAATTCCTAAAATAAGTTCTTTACTCATTACTACTAATATATGATAGTCTTGAATCAGTATCTAATAACTTCTATTTGTAGACTTTTTTGTTCTCATCTTGACATGCTTAGTTTTGTTTCCTAACCTAATCAGTCTTTTTGCAACTTGCTTCTGCTTGGGTGGTTCATCTTGCTACTGAACTGTAACTCCTGCTTCTTGAACTTCAGGTCTACCAGGTACAGTAGTTATTTCTCAAAAGCTGGATCTTAAAGTAAAGCTTTAAACATGAAAAACAAACAAGATTTGTCCAGGTTTAAGTCTTTGGTTTTTTTCCCCATTATTTTGTAGAGCATATTTCAAAGGACAAATTAGTTATCTTAAAAACTCAGCTATCAAAAACTAGTTGGGCTATAACAATAAGGAGTGATCCAGATAGAGCTATAATAGTGCTCACTATTAGGTATCTCATCATACGTCACAAATATAATAATGTAAAATATCTCTCCCCTTTCTATAGTATTTTCAATGAAATGACAGCATTGGAACCATTACTGTGGTTCCATGGAATTTCTCTAATCTTCAAAGTGAATTTTATCAGTTTAAGGACATGCTGGTATATGACATCAAACAAAACTTAAAATCCCAGCATCTTGCGCTATTATAAAAATAATTGTGAATTTTCAACAATAAAATTAGGTCTTGTTGTTGAAGGGACACTTTGGAATGGTCACCTGGCGTCACCTGGCTCAGCCTCCAGCTTCCAGTCAGTTGTATTCCCATTTAACAGATGTAGATCAACAATATTAAGTGACCCACTAAGTCACATACCTGATAGGAATTGGAGTGGGAAGTTGCCTTATGTTTGTAGAGCAGTTCTTTTCCCTAAAATATATTCTTTTTTAACCATTTTGTCTCAGAGTAGTTCAGTCTTACAGAACTTATTAAGGTTAAATATTTTTTCAGTGTCATATTTTTTTCTGTAAAATCCTGGTTGGAATACTGAGAAGTAAAATTTAACAACAAAAACTGATGGTGTAATGTATCATTAAAGTAACATGTAGGGGCACCTGGGTGGCTCAGTCATTAAGCATCTGCCTTCGGCTCAGGTCATGGTCCCAGGGTCCTGGGATCGAGTCCCACATCGGGCTCCCTGCTCCGTGGGATGTCTGCTTCTCCCTCTCCCACTCCCCCTGCTTGTGTTCCCTCTCTCACTGTGTCTCTCTCTGTCAAATAAATAAAATCTTAAAAAATAAAAATAAAAAATAAAATAATTTCCTTAAAAAATAAAATAAAATAACATGTAAAATGAAGCTAAAATAAAGTCAAAAAGGTCCACGTAATGGGATTATTCAGTAATTGATCATTTTTATGGATTATAGAAATATATCCCAATAATCCATAGTACCTTAGAGCAGTGCAAATCGAAATGCAGTCAACGGACCAATGTCAGATCACAAGCTGCTTGTTACCAGTCTGTATTGGAATTAGAAGAAATTGAGAGTAAGCATTTAGAAACTTATATGGTAATTTGACAGTGTAATTGTATTTGTTGAATATAATAACCAAAAGGTAGTAATGTATGTCTTTGGTTTTTTATTTTAGTTTTTTTAGTAATTTTTATTGTGTTTTATGAAAATATTAGTCCATGGTGGACCAGGAATTAAGAAAATATTGGTCTTTCACTGGAAATAATTTGAGAAGCACTTTCATAGAGAAATATGCTTGAAAATCCTAAAGTTTGATTGTTAGGTCATTTTATATGCATGATACCAAAAGTATCTCTGACTCACTGTTAGGTTTGTTATACACAGGAGTCTATCATTTGTTTGCTAGAAAAATAATCAGATACCTCTTTTAAAACTACTTCAAAACTTGTTAATATTGGTGTTGTATTAACTAGGCCTGCATGGAATACCAGGAGAGAAGGGAGATCCGGGGCCTCCTGGGTTTGATGTTCCAGGACTCCCTGGAGAGAGAGGCAGTCCAGGGATTCCTGGAGCACCTGGTCCTATGGGACCCCCCGGAACACCAGGGCTTCCAGGAAAAGCAGGTGCCTCTGGATTTCCAGGTAATTCATTTAAAGTTTTCTCTGGTTTTGGATTCAGGAAATTAAAACTAATATAATTCTGGTATATTATTTTCTTGTTGTACTTTTCTGGATTGACACTGTCCCTTAAGGAAAAGTGTTAAATGTCTTTGCAAGAAATTTACTTTGCTATTTTTATTACATTTTTTCTCTGAGATTTCTGGTCACATACTGCTATATAAAAAATGATCCCACAATTTAATGGTTTAATTCAACCTTTTTATTTTGTTCAAGATTTTGTGGGTCAGGAATTAAGGCATGATTTGATGGGGTCATTTATCTCTGATCCACATGGCACCAACTGGAGTGGTTGGGATGAAGGATCTACTTCCAGGATGGCACTTCTCTGACACCTGAGTGTTCTATGCCCTCTTCATATGGTCTCTCATTATCCATAATGCCCCTTCAACATGGCTTGGAATCCTTACATTATGGTAAAGTCAGAGCAGTTGCTCTCCTTCTAGAGGCAGCTGGCTTCCAAAAGAGAGGATCCCCCAAACTAAAAGCGAGTGTTCTAAAAGCCCCGGGTGAAAGCTGCAAGACTTCTTATGATCTAGCCTTGAGAGTCATTCAGTGTCATTAAGTCAAGGGCAAGGCACAGAGTCAGCCCAAATTCAAGGAGAGAAGGCTGCACAAGGGTGTGTATACTGGGAAGTGTGGTGAAGCCATCTTTGGAGATTAGCTACCACAGTGAGTCTTTTTATTTTTATTTTTTGAGAGAGAGAAAGAGTGAGCCCAGGGGTGGGGAGGGGCAGAGGGGGAGGGAGAGAAAGAGAATCTTAAGTAGGCTCCACGCCCAGTGCTGAGCCCAATGCGGGGCTTAATCCCACTATCCTGAGATCATGACCTGAGCCAAAATCAAGAGTCAGATGCTTAATTGACTGACTGAGCCACCCAGGCGCCCCAGAGCCTTTTTATTCATACATATCAACAGTAGTGGTCGCTAAGGTTACAACAGTTAAAAAGGGGTAAAACTTAGTGCCTTCCTTCCAACACTCAATAGTCTTCCAGTTGACATCTTAAAAGTTATCTTTTAGGGCGCCTGGGTGGCTCAGTCATTAAGCGCCTGCCTTTGGCTCGGGTCATGATCCCAGGGACCCTGCTCAGCGGGGAGCCTGCTTCTCCCTCTACCCCTCCCCCCTGCTCCCACGTGCTCTCTCTCTCTCTCTCTCACTCACTGTTGCTGTCGCTTTAGCTCTTTCTCAGATAAATAAAATCTTTTTAAAAAAAGTTATCTTTTATTTTTCCAAGGTCAAGGAAAAGTAAAAATTAATTATTGATATTCTTCAAAGGTGCCAAAGGTGAAATGGGTATGATGGGACCTCCAGGCCCACCAGGACCTTTGGGAATTCCTGGCAGGAGTGGTGGTCCTGGTCTCAAAGGTAATATTCAGAGTTGGCTGGTAGATGCATGTAAGAGAGAAAATTAAACATTATTTTATGTCAATATAGAATATTTTTATTTGAGTGCTTTAAAATGAGCAATGCTTACTTATATTTTGTTTCTAGGTGACATGGCATTTTTAAAAAGTTTTTATTTAAATTCTAGTTAGTTAACAGAGTGTAATATTGGTTTCAGGAGAATTCAGTGATTCATCACTTATGTGACATGGCATTTAAGTACATTCTATTTTCGATTTGGTGGCATACACAGTTTGGATACATGAAACGTGGTAAATGCTCAGCTCAAAAATACAGTTTCAATAATTGTCAAAGAACCCCAGAAAATAGAAGGAGTGTTATTTGAGTGTAAAAATGTGTGTGAGTTCAAGTTACTCATAGACAATAACAGTAATGCCTAAGTGTTTTGGATGGTCAGTGGCCTACTAAATTACGGAACATATGAATAATCTTTATATGCGTTAATCCTGGAAGGACGAATCTGATCTGTTGTGTCCTCTCCACACATGTTGGTTTTAGGTGATGATGGTTTACAGGGTCAGCCAGGACCTCCTGGCCCTGAAGGAGAAAAAGGTGGTAAAGGAGAGCCTGGCCTTCCAGGCCCTCCTGGACCAGTGGATCCAGATCTGCTGGGCTCAAAAGGACAGAAAGGGGACCCTGGCTTACCAGGTGAGTAATGCATTTATTTGTGAATGTATTTACTGATTTATCTCAAGTTTCATTTTAAATAGCATGAAAAGTGATTTGTAGTGTAGGAGTCACCAACAAAAGGCAGGTCAAATTTTTGGTAATGAAAATTTTCACCGAGCTGTATTGTTTCAGTGATCAAGTTTTATTTAAGTATTTTCTTTGTAGTTTAATCTGTTGCAAACTATGAACTCTTAAAATAGACTTAAGGCAATCACCTTCAGGCTTTCCAGAAAGCAATATAGGATGTGGTTAAGAGAATGGATATATAGCCAGAATCACTTGGAAAACAGATTTCAGTGTTGGAGAAATTTGCTGGTCCCTTAAATTTTTTCCCTTGAGACTGGATGGGGATGAGTAGTACATTATTGCCCTGCAATGTTTTGATATACATATCATACTTGGCTTTTAAATGCAGTTCATTGCTATTCTGCCTTGGCAGAATAAACAAGTATTGGACTATGAATAGCCGGGCAAGCTCAGCTGTGGGGGAAGTTGCTGAAAGTAGGGTTAGGGAACAACTGTGTTACTATAGTTATTTTATTAGAAACAAATAAGATATGAAGTATTACACTGACTTTTTAAATTAAAAAAATCTTTTTTTCTTTTTATAAAAGTATAACATAACAAGACACCAAAAAGTAGGTAAGCACAAATTAATAAAGTGCTTACGATCCAATCTGTATAGTATAGCCTTTCAAACAACATGGAACTTTAAAATTAGCTATCTTTATTTGCAGCTTATAGTAAAGTTTGTGGCTCTTTTTGTGTTGTAACCATTAATATTGTCAGCCCATGTGTGCCTGTGAGTGTGTGTGGGTGTATGTGTATACACAGATACTATGTTTCCCTATGAGCAGGACTTGGTGGGATTTTTCCTCAAAAAAGAGTTTAAGACATTACTGTAGTTTTGTATGTCATCACAAAAGAGGTAGGGACACCTAATTTTTTATTATTGTTAAAATGAGATACCTTTCTTGAATTACTCCTTACGTCTTCTCTTTCAATTATGCCTTCTGTAAAATAGAGGCAGTAATCTATATTATAATAGGATTATTAAAGATAGTTATCGAATCTAAAAGATAGCCTAAAGATAATCTGCCCCAATTCTTTCATTTTACAGTGTAAAAAACTGAGGCCCAAAGAGGAAAATGACTTAGTTATTGAGTGCTTTGAATTTCTTAATGGTAGCTAAATAAAAAGTGGAGGAGTTTAATATGTGTCCAGTGCTATTGGTTCATACTCTATCAGAATATCATGAGTTCCTGCATTTCATTCATAGTTCAGAATTTGGGTTGCTTGCTTTCCCAAATTATTTTTAATGGATTAATGATATCAACCTAACTTGTCTTCCTTATACTCATCCTTGGAAGGTATTCCTGGAGTTTCAGGGCCAAAAGGTTACCAGGGTTTGCCTGGAGACCCAGGGCAACCTGGACTGAGTGGACAACCTGGATTACCAGGACCATCAGGTAAGTATGACAGACCACCTATAGCAATTGAATGGCTGATCCTAGATCCTAGGAAAGTAATTATGTATTTATCACATGTGATGATGTGTTTTTTTTGTTTGTTTATTTTTTGTGATGATGTTTTGGAGTAGCTACTGAGATGTGGAGCTCTTTTTTAGCAAAAATGTTGCCATTTGGCCCAAGTGTCAACTGACAAAGTTTGTAGGATATTTTGCTTTGCTCAGTTTCTTCTTTTTCTGGCAGTCAGGATGTAAACAGAATAAGAAGTACATCCAAATAAGGTGGTGTGTTTTATTTACACACACTGCAACATGTATAAATGAGACAATTATCTGGTAGGTGCTGAAAAATTTACCTTTTTTTAGTTATTGCCTTTAGACAAGTCAATCATTAAACCATGTAAAGATGGCTGCTGATTCTATTTTTTAAAGTTTTTAGGGACAAAAATTTCACAACCTACCTTGGTAGTCTCTTTCAGCATTAATCACCCTTAGAGTCAACATGGATTTTTTTCTTATTTCTAATAAAACTCTTGCTGCTTCTTAAGCCATTTTCTTTTAGTTAGGCCCCAAAGGAATAAAGAGCAGCTGGTCTCCATCCTCATAGGAGTCCTTCAGGTCAGTTATTCTGCTCTAGACTCTGTACTACATTGCCTTGATATATAGTTCCTTTCTATCCTTCACATCTTCTGCATTCTCTTCCCCAAGTTGGAAGTCAGTGTGAAAGAAAAAAATAAAAGAAAAAAAGTTTAAGGCAACATTGTGGTCCTTAGAAAATCCCTAGGTAACACCACAGCTCATGCACCTGAGCTCTAGGAAGAATGTATAAGCACAGCAGCCATGACTGTTGGGGGTGACAGTATAGTACCTCTCCCTCAGCCTTTATCTATCTCTGGCCTAATGTCCTGGGAGTATATCATAACAGGATACCACTTTCCGTTTACTGCTTTCACATAATCAGACTTACGTGGGAAAGGCACTTCTCAGTCTTTTAAAAGCAGACTTGTTATATTGGATTTATCTGTGATAAATACAGTAAGGGTAGTTATGCACATAATATGAATAGGACTTCAGGTGATTGGAATTGTTTTAGGACAAGAAACAAGGTGTCCTGGTAAAATTTTTGCATTTTCAAAACTGATTTGTATTAGGAGACCTCTGTTATTCTGTTTATATTGTAATATGTCCCTAAGGAGATTTCATAGGTACCTTTTGCCTGTTTTATGCTGAGTTAGATCTGTGGAACTTAATCATGTATTAAGATTTCATCCATCTAATCCCATGCTTACATTATAATTACAACCCACTCCAAGAAATCAGGCAACCTCAATATTGCTGACTTGTCTTAATTTAACCAATTTAACTTTTCTAGGTCCCAAAGGTAACCCTGGTCTCCCTGGGAAGCCAGGACTTACAGGACCTCCTGGACTTAAAGGAAGCATAGGTGATATGGGTTTTCCAGGTCAGTGATGGAAATCTCCCATATATTTAATCCCATTAATGGCAGATGGTTCATTCTCTTTGTTATTAAAATAGAGACTGGTGTTGATAGAATCAAACTGAGACAATAACTAAGGTAATCAGTGGATAGAGCTCTCTCATCACACAAATATTTGAAGTGGGGATTAAGGGACAGAGTTTTAGAAACCTTAAGAGTAAGGATCCACAAACATGTATCTTTTCTCTCACTGTACCCCTTTCTCTTAAACTTCCTTGAAAAATAGTTGTAAAGGATCATTCTATAATTCAGAATTTGCAGAGTTCTTTTTTTAAACCTTTTCCCTTAGTCATAAGCATCATAGACATGCCATGAATAAAGAAATTTTGTAAAAAATGCATGTTATGTGTTTTCAACAGGCCCTCAGGGTGTGAAAGGGTCTCCTGGACCTCCTGGAGTTCCTGGACAACCTGGCTCCCCAGGATTACCTGGACAGAAAGGAGAAAAAGGTGATCCTGGTGTTTCAGGCATTGGTCTTCCAGGTCTTCCCGGCCCAAAGGTAACCCTCTACTCTAGGCATACACCTGAGCAGATGTGATTTTTTTAAAATACTGTGCTCATTCCTAATTCTTCATTAAACAAACTATACAATGACATGGTATATTCTGGAAATTCATTCCTCCTGTTTTCTCTTTGTAAGAGGTTATGTTTTAGGGTTTGTAGCCAATCCAAAAAGGTATGTGTGGGGGAAACATTCTGATTTCTTTATTTTCCCTCTATCTTAATCTCTGAGTATATTTCAGTAAACCAAAGGTAAATTCCTGCCTGGCTTTGGTTTTCTTTTCCCATCTTGGTGGTGGAATGTTGATCTATATCCTAATATTATTATTAACTAATATAAAGAGACTTATAAACAAAGTAACTTATGCGATTAATGAAGGTGCAGTAGTATTCTTAACTGCATATCTGAAGTAGTTCTCTTAAAACAGTTTTACATGTCCCTCCATGCCCCTAGTCAGTGTGAAAACTTTGGCAGTGTTTCTCGATCAATCAAATTTAGAATGTATCTTAGAATCATTAGACTCAACAAATATTTAATAGCTGCTTAATTCCATGTAAAAAGGTAGTAAGTCCTACTGATTTGTGGAAGTACTTTTTAACTAGCAGAGATGCATCCATTGTCTATTATATATGTTGCAAATATTTTCTCCTAATTAATCATTTGTCTTATAATATTGTTTAATCATTCAGTCAGACCACAAAGCTAGGAAGTATTAGGAAAAGAAGGGTGTTACTAACCTTCCATGGAATTAATGAAAATTCCCACTAAGAATGTACTGAATAATGTGGGTGTTTTTTCCTTTTAAGCTGTCATTTTAATTTTTTTAAATTTAAAAAAATATTTTATTATTGATGTTAATTCCAGTATAATTAACATACAATGTTCCATTAGTTTCGGGTGTACAAAATAGTGATTCAACACTTCCCTACAATACCCAGTGCTCATCACAGCAAGTGCACTCCTTGATCCCCATCACCTAGTTCACCCATCCCTCCACCCACCTTCCCTCTGGTAACCATCAGTGTGTTCTCTATAGTTGAGTCTGTTTCTTGCTTTGTCTCTTTTTTTTTGTTCAGTGATTTAACTCGTGAAATTTGAATAATGTTTTAAAGATAATTTCTTTTTAATAGTATACAAAAAGATTTTAGTTTGATTGCGTAGTCAATCAACTTATTGTAAGACATAATCAGGAGAAATTTCTGCATATTAACTGCAAATTAACAGTGTAAAGTCTATTGAAATGATGCTGAATATTTTCTGTTCTACTTAAATTTTACCAGTAATACATGACTACATTAAAAAAATGATAATGCAGACATATCAAGGGTAAAAGTGAAAATCTCCTTCATAACACATCTTCTTTATTCCATTCCCATCGCTATAGATATCTACTGATAATAGTGTATAAATTTGAATCCCTTGCCATACATATTTTTATGTATATATACAAAATTTGGGGTTTCCTATGTGTATTGTATATGTGTAGAGTCATAGAATACACACTATTCTGTATTTGCTTTATCACTTATATCTTTTAATCTTTCTATTTGATTATATCTTAGACAATTTTCTTTGTCACTGTACTTTTTTTTATTATGTTCAGTTAGCCAGCATATAGTACATCATTAGTTTTTGATGTAGTGCAACGATTCATTTGTTGCATGTAACACCCAGTACTCATCACAACACTGTACATTATTTTTAATAGTTGCATGATATTCTATTGTAAATAATATCGTAATGAATATTCTTAGACATATCTGTGGACACATGTATAATTATTTATGCTGTATAGATTCCTAAAAGTGAAATGTCTGGGTCAAAAGATAAGTACATTTAGGTTTTTGTTTTTTAAAGTTTTTATATTAATAGTAACCAGTAAACTTGATTTTAAAAATCAACCAGTATGACTGATATGAGGAATTCTTAATCTCAGGAAACAAACTGAGGGTTGCTGGAGTGGTGGGGGGTGGGAGGGATGGGGTGGCTGGGTGATAGACATTGGGAAGGGTATGTGCTATGGTGAGTGCTGTGAATTGTGTAAGACTGTTGAATCACAGACCTGTCCCTCTGAAATAAATAATACATTGTATGTTAAAAAAAAAGAAGATAGTAGGAAGGAAAAAATGAAGGGGGCGGAAATCAGAGGGGGAAACGAACCATGAGAGACTATGAACTCTGAGAAACAAACTGAGGGTTCTAGAGGGGAGGGAGGTGGGGGGATGAGTTAGCCTGGTGATGGGTATTAAAGAGGGCACGTACTGAATGGGGCACTGGGTGTTATACGCAAACAATGAATCATGGAACACTACATCAAAAACTAATGATGTAATGTATGGTGATTAACATAATATAATAAAATTTAAAAAAATGTAAAAAAAAAAATCAACCAGTATGAAACAATGTAAAACGAGAAGTCTTCTTTCCACGCATTTACATACCTTAAATTCATAGTTCTTCCCCAAGGGAACCACTTTTAGTAGTTGTCCACAAAAGACATTTTATATGTATATAAACATGAATATATGATAGATATTTCATCAATTTTAAGACTCAATTTTTTTACATTCAAAATCTCTGATATTGAGGTGCATCTTACAATGGAAAGCATCTTACAACTATAATTGGAAGCATTTTATTCAGTTACTAATTCATGAAATGATGCTGCACCTTCCAAATGTAGGTATCTTGTATTTTTATTTACACACATAAAATCATACTATATATCTGGTCTGGACCTAGCTATCATAACTTAGTAAGTCTTAGCAAACTTTCTTTATCAGCCCATAAATAAATGCCTCATTCATTTTCATAATTATATAGTATTTTATGTATGGGTTAACCATAAATAGTTTAACCTATTATGAATGCTGAGTTGTTTCTATATTTTCATGATTATAAACATATGTTGCTCTGAAGATTCTTACCCATATCTTACATACATATCTTAAGATTATTTGGTAAATACTTCCACAGAATAAATTCTGAGTAAAGTTGCTGGAACCCATCATATATATGCCTTTTTAATATTGATAATTACTAATTTTTCTCTTAAATATCTCTGCTGCTTCATACTATCTTGATCAGTATCAGAAATTTTCTATTTTCTCCTCATTTTACAAATATTGGGTATTATTAATCATTCTAATTCTGTCAGTCTAATGGGTGAAAAATAGAGTATCATTGTTTAAATTTGAATTTTCCTGGGCGCCTGGGTGGCTCAGTTGGTTAAGCGACTGCCTTCGGCTCAGGTAATGATCCCAGGGTCCTGGGATCGAGTCCCACATCGGGCTCCCGGCTCAGCAGGAAGCCTGCTTCTCCCTCTCCCACTCCCCCTGCTTGTGTTCCTGCTCTCGCTGTCTCTGTCTCTGTCAAATAAATAAATAAAATCTTTAAAAAAAAAAAATTTGAATTTTCCTAATTATGAATGAGATTTCTTTTCTTATGCTTATATCTCCTCTACAAATTGTCTGTTCATACTCTTGCCTCATTTTTAGGAGGGGATTTGGTTGTGTATTTCCTATTGATTTATGGAAGTACTTCATAAAGATGCATCCATTATCTATTATATATGTTGCAAATATTTTCTCCCGGTCATTTGTTTGTCTTATAACCCTGTTTACTGTGCATTTATCATGTAGAGTATAAAATTTTTACATAGGCAAATGTTAGTTATTCATTCATTCAGAATATATCTAATGAGTGTATGAGGTGCCTGGTACTGTTTTAGGTGCTGGAGATAGAAAACGAATGAAACAAACTCACTGCCTGTGCAGAGTTTGCATCTAGTCAATAAAATAAATATGTTTATAGTGTGCTAGAAGATATGGTAAAAGTTAAGTGAGGCTTGGGGATAGGAATTGCTGAGAATTGTTATATTTTGAATTAGAGTAGTAAGAGAAAGCTGCTTTGAATGCAGTTGATCTGGTGACATGCAGTGAGGGAATGAGTCATTCAAGCATCCTGAGGTGGGAGCATACCTGACACTTCTGAAGAACATACAGGTGGCTAGTGTGGTTTAAGCAGAGTGAGTGAAGTGAAACTAAGTTAGAGATGAGATCAGGTTGGTAATGGGAGATCAATTATCTAGAGCCTTGCAGATCATAGTAAGGGATTTTACTCCTGTGTGAAATGGGGAGTGACTGGAAGGAGTAACATGATTGTACTTAAATTTAAAAATATATCGTAGCTCCTATTTTGGAACTATATCATAGAGGAATAAGGATGAAAACAGTGGGACCACTTATGACACTATTTAAATAATACAGACCAGAGGTCTTGATGGCTTGGATCAAGGTGGTAGCAGTGGAAGTGATAAGAAACATTCAGAATCTGAATATATTTTCCAGGTCAAGCCAGATATCATGGGCTATGAGAGGAAAGATATCATGGATGACTCTAAAGTTTTTATCCTGAGCAAGTTTGAGAATGGAGTTGCTACATACTGAGATAGGAGAGATTTGGGGAAGCAGATTTGGTGGGAAAGATCAGGAGCATAATTTTCTGATTGTTATAAAAACTTCTATATCCTAATATTATAAAAATAGACCTCTGTCTTTTCTTCCAGTACTTTCATGATTTTGTTCTTTGTATTTACATCTTTAATCCATGGGCTTTTTCTCTATGATGTGTGAGGTGAGGAAGTAATATCATGTTTTCAAAATAAATACCCAGATAACCCAACCCCATATGTTATAGATTCCATTCTTTACTCATTGATTTGAAATTCCATTTAAAATTTTTTCTAAATTTTTTCATATATGTTTTTTTCTGGACTGAGCAAATGTTAACATTTATATAATGGAACTAAATTACCATAACTCATATCTGAATTTATAATGAATGTCAGCCAAAAAAAAAAACATATTTCAATTGGCAAATATCCACAGTATATTCAACTCTTCAAGCAAGAGGCTAACTTAGTTTCTTTCTCTATGCAGCCTTCAAGTATATTTCAGGAAGCAAATTCTACACTAAACTTAAGATACTTGCAGAGT